TTTCAGTAATTATTTAATTTTTTCTTTGTAATGTCATGTGTTTTTTTTTTTTTCATTTAGCAATTTTTAGTTTACATTTTAGCGAAAAATTGAGGTTAGAAAAATGAATGATTGAACCACAATTTTCTCAAAGTACAGCAAATAAAAAAGTCGGTTAGCAGCAAATTTTTAAACGCTAAATCGCACAGCCTTAATTGTATTTTGGAAAAAACAACGAAACATTCATAAAATTTAACACAGTCATGATGAAAAAAATGTAATATAAGATAAACAACCCAACTGCGCAGCACAATGAAGAGGAGCTAACGGGAATAGTAACTTAATAGTCATAACAAAAATGTGGCAACTGCTTACAACGCTTGTTAAAYATTGTTTTGTTGTCGTTGTTTCCAGTTGTGAATTTTTGTTGTAATTATTGCTATTAAAAAATATGCTCCAACACTATGCAGCGTGAGCGCACTTGTTTGTATAGAAATCACTGTTGCTACAGTGGCAACCTTGGCTACAAGAAGCTCCAACGCCGCTGCCTGTGATGAAACGAATATCACATCAACCGTTCGCACGACAGTCGGGTCTACGTAACCGTAATGGACCCGGATTTTTATCCTGTCAAGGACTGTTAACGCGACAGAATTCTACCGTTACAACAACAACAACAWCATCAAACGAAATTATTTGTTGATCAAAAAATGCATGCTGTTTTTAAGGCACCTATTCAAGGTTTGGAAATAATGGGAATGGCTAATGGCTGYAGCTAAACWRCAGTATGCAAAATATTKTCAGCTAAAAYGCAAAATAACGGCACATCACKTTTTATAAATTTACGGGCGARGGAAAAACAATTTAATAGAAACTRCTSTTATTGCAACAAAATTTCARTTTTGGTTATAAAATGGTTATATAACTGGTTATATATTGGTTATATAACTGGTTATAAATTGGTTATTTTGGTTATATCTGACAGCGATAGCTGAAAATATGACGTAATGAAACGTAAGCAATAAAAAACTTAATTTTGATTTTTTTTTTGCATTTTAGCTGACGATATGTTGCATATTATCAGGAGTCAAGCTGTGAAAACTGTTGTCGCAAATTTTTTTAGCACTTTACTATAAAATAATGAAAGCGTACTTTTATTTAGAAACTATTTTGCGCCGCAACCATTTTTTTACGATTTCTTTTACTTTTTTTATTTATAGCAAAATGAAATTATAGCAAAAGCGGCGCTCGGCTGCTGTCTGTATTATATACAAATATTTGTTGCAGCAAAACAAAAGAAAAATTAGACACAATTTTGTAAATTTTCGCTTTCTTTCTTTTAATGTATGTATGTATATGGTTGTGTGTATGTATAGATGTTTGTATATTTTTAATTATTTTTGTTTTTAAATTTACTGCTTTCATTGTGATATAATTTAAATTATA